GAGGGGATGGGTGTTGAGTGCCTATGTATTTAGACGCAGGGACATGGGACAGCTTAGATTAGGCTGCTCACAGCTTTGCTTGTGAGCAAGCCCAATGTGAGTTGCTCTCAGAAAGAGTGGTCTTGGCACCCTTAGCTGCGCTGATCGGGACTCGACTCCAAAGCCATCACTGTGCTCTGTCTGATGTTTCTCACTGAAAGTAGAGATTTCTTCAGGCCAGCAAAGGCTTCCAAAGCCTGCAAGCTCTCAAGACCAACTTGTTCTGACTGCTAGAGAAATCCTAACCTCCTTCCCAGCTCAATCTTAGTGGGTTTTTGAAGAAAGAAATGCAAAGAACCATTGCCTGCCTGCTGGAGGACAGACGGTGTCTGGGTTGGATATTGCAAGCTCCTCAGTATCCAGCTGCATTGATCTGTAGTGCATGTGGAGACGAGAAAAAAGCAATCAGTAGTCTTTGGACTGCTCTGGAGAGAACCCAAACACTTTTCACAGGAGCTTAAATGATGGTGCTGAAATTGTTTGTATATTTCTTTGAAGCCTTCTTAGAAAGTGGAAATGATTAAACTTGGAATTGTTTTGTTTTGTTTTAATAGACTTTTTTAGAACAGTTTTAGGTTTACATAAAGATTTCAAAGAAAGTGCAAAGTGAGTTTCCATATACTTCTCCTCCAACACAGTTTCCCCTATTGTTAGCATCTCACATTAGTTGGTATTTTGTTATAATTGATAAACCAATACTGATATATATTAGCTGAAGCCTGTACTTGCACTAGGTTTCACTCTTGGTGGTGTACATTCCATGGGTTTGGACAAATGTGGAAAGACATGAATCCACATGTCTTATAGTATCACACAAAATATCTTCACTGCCCTAAAAATCCTCTGTGCTCCATCTATTTATCCTTCCTTCCCCCTTCCCAACTCCTAGCAGCCACTCATCTTTTTGCTGTCTCCATAGTTTTGCCTTTTCCACAGTGTCATATAATTGGAATCATACAGCATGTAACCTTTCAGGTTGTTTTCTTTCCATTAGTGATATGCATTTAAGGTTCCTCCATGTCTCTGTGGCTTCATAGTTCATTTCTTTTATTTCCTGATAATATTCCCTTGTGTAGATGTTTGTTTCTCCACTCACCTACTGAAGGACATTGTGGTTTCCCCCAGTTTGGGGGCAATTGTACATAAAGCCGCTGTAAACATCCTTGTGCAGGTTTTTGTGTGGATGTAAGTTGAAGTAATGCTGAAGAGAAAACTAAGTGCTAAAGCAGTGATTAGTTTTGTCTCACATTCTGCAATATGAACATTAGGAATTTACTTGATTTATTTTTCCCTGCAGATTTTTAAAAAATACAATGTCTAATGGTTATGAAGACCACATGGCTGAAGACTGCAGGGATGACATCGGGAGAACGAATTTAATCGTCAACTACCTCCCTCAGAATATGACCCAGGATGAGTTGCGAAGTCTGTTCAGCAGTATTGGTGAAGTCGAATCTGCAAAACTTATTCGGGATAAAGTCGCAGGTAAAGAAACCAAGGTGTTTCTGTAACGAGGATGCTTGTAGGTGTCTTCTTTACCTGTGACTGCAGTGTTCCTCCGTGTAGAAGAGCTACAGCCTTGCATTGATGCTTCGTTTTTATCTCGCACCCTACTTTGCCACTGCCATGGTGTAAGATTGGATGTAGATTCCCAAAAGAAGAAAAATTCAATGTTAGACAGAGAGCATGTCCAAAATAAGGTGGTGGGAGGGGAGAAAAAATGAAGACACCAGAAATTGGGTCTGCTCTTAGAGCTGGAAGGGACCAAAGAAGGACAGCCTGGCCTGATGTGGGCCTACCTGTGAAAGGGATTCTGGCCAGCGCCCTGCCCCAGGCAGGCCTATTCATCTTCCCAGGCTCCCACACACTGAGTCCCCATGAGTGGCCCCTCATTAGGTTTGGGCAACCTTGACTATTGTCACTCCATCAACTTGAACATCTGAAACACATAAAACTTGAACCCTGTGTGGGGGAGGGAGCATGGCGGTAGCCCAACAGACTGGCTATGGGGTTGGTAGGCTGGTTCAAAGCCCTGCTCTCCACTCCCTCAGAGTATGACCTCTAAGCCTCAGTGTCCTCATCCATAGTGTGTGTGGGGTGAGTGGAGGGTGCCTACCTCCTGATGCTATCTACCTCATAAGGGTTTCTGGAAGGCCCAGCACAGGGTAAGGCCGTCGTTCCAAGAGCACAGTTTCAAAGACTACAGAAAAACATGTAAAAACCAGGTACTTTGATTCTTTTCTCCCCAGGAAGGATCAGGGTTAGGGCTCTCTGTTTTAGAGAACCCTAACTCTGATCCTCTTCCCCCTCCTCCTCTTACCCTCTCCCTCTCCTCTCGTCCTCCTCTCCCTCTTCCTCTTCCTCTCCCTCTCCTCCTTTCCTCCTCCCCCTCCTCTTCTTCCTCTTCTTGCCCCTCTCCTCCCTCTCCTCTTCTTTCTCCTCTTCCTCCTCTTTCTCCACCTTCCCCTCCTCTTCTCCTCTCCCTCCTGTCCCTCCTCTCCTCCCCTTCCTGTCCTTCTCTCCTTCCCATCCTCCTCCTCTTCTTTCTCCTCCTCTTCCTCCTTCTCCTCATCCCTCTCCTCTTCCTCACCCCTCTTCCTCTCCTCTCCCTCCTCTCCCTCCTTTCCCCTCTTTTCTTCCTTGTTTTCCTCCTCCTCCTCCTCCTCTCTGCTCTGGTGAGCTGAGGAATGGACAGTCTTCCCAGGACAACTTTGGCTGCCACCTGATTTGTGGGACTATGATTCTCTACACTAAAACTAATTTAAAAGTAAAACAGCCCTGGCCAGTGTGGCTCAGTTGGTTGGGCATCGTTCCATGTACCAAAATGTTGCTGGTTTGATTCCCAGTCAGGGCACAAGCCCAGGTTGGGAGCTCGATTCCCAGTGGTGAGCATGTAGGAGGCAGCTGATCAATGTTCAGCTCTCACATCGATGTTTCTCTTATTCTCCCTTCCTCTCTCTCTAAATTTCAATTAAAAAAATAAATAAAAGTAAAACTATTTTTAGTATGGAAATACAATAATATCTTATTCAAATTTACATAACAGTAGCCCGGCTGGAGTGGATCAGTCAGTTGAACATTGTTCTGTGCACCGAAAGGTTGCCAGTTTGATTCCCAGTCAGGGCACATCCTGGGTTGTGGGTTTGATCCCTGGTTGGGGTATGCATGGAAGGCATCCAATTGATGTTTCCCTCATATATTAATGTTTCTCTCTCTCTCCTTCCCCCCTTCCTTCCTCTCTCTAAGCATTTCCTTGGATGAGTATTTAAAAAAAATTTTTTTTTTTGCATAACAGTAGAGTAGATATTGAACCACGTGTACCCGTTGTCAGCTCTCAGCATTTGCCGGAGATGGGATGATGCCCATCCGCATATAACTCTTGGAGAGGCTGGCTGATCCCATACAGGGAATTGGTTCATCAGAGGAGGGCTTGGAACTCAAAGTCTTTTAAGGACCCTTTTAATTCTAAGAGTCTGTGATTTAATAAGTGTCTTCTAAATAGGAACTTTAAATAATACACAAAATTGATTAGTGTTAGAATGTTCTAGAAACCACTGTCTCTCTCCTGTTCCAGGAGACCATCCTGAATAAGAGTCTTTGTTCACAGGGTTTTTGAAATTCTCTTGTGCTGCTAACAAGTCTTTTCTCCATTTACGTTCTGGTGGAATGGGATTTTTCAGCCCCTTAGATATTCCTCAGTATTGCAGTCCGATTTTGCAAGCATTCTCATAGTACCTGACTTCTTTGTCTCTTCACTTGCTGTGGCTTTCAAAGGAATGTGAGCTCTGGTAATAGGAACACCTAGATTTGGTGAGGTTGGCCAGGAAAGTAGAGAACTGGTTTTGCAAAAGCAGTAAAGGTATAATTTGAAAGTTTTCAGTTCAGAGATAAACTTTTTCTTATCTTTGGGCAAGATAAGTGTAATGTACCAGGAGTCATGGAGTAGGTGGACCTGGGCTCACATTTCAGCTCAGTACCTTCCTAGCAGTTCTTAAATTGAATGAACGTAGTTTTATGAAAAACTTAACTGCATTCTCACTTTTCTCCCGTCACTAGTATGCGAAAACTTCTTCACTGGCCGGTTCTGGGGAAATGGCCGTACATTTCACTGCCCTGTGACCTTTAATCATGCTGCTCTGGTGAAACCCCAGGCATGGATACGGTCATCCAGCTGCTTTCTCCTGGCCAGGCTCAGGCTACCCGCTCCAGAGAGAGACAGGTGCCCTGTTGAATCAAATCCCCAACTGAGCTTATGTTGCAATGAGGGCTATCCCTGTCCCCCAGAACAACCATTTCAGCGTGTTTCCCTCAGGATACCTGCATCTCACCTGATGTCTGCCTTCTACTTCGCAGCTATCTCTATCTCTATCCTAGATCCTGTCCCTTCTCAACAACCCAGGAACCTCAAACTATGCAAGTACCCACTTTTCTGGGTCTTTTCAAGATGAGTCTCTGCTCTTTTAAAAGATCCTTGCTATCCCTGGCCAGTGTGACTCAGTTGGTTAGAACGTGTCCCATGCACTGAAGGGTTGCAGGTTTGTTCTCTGGTCAAGGCACATATGGGAGGCAACCAATCAATGTTTCCTCTCTTTCACATCCATGTTTTTTGGTTTTCTCTCTCTCTCCTCTCCTTTCTTCTCTCTCTAGAATCAATGAAAAACTTATCCTCGGGTGAGGATTAAAATAAAAATCCTTGCTAAAATTCTCCCAACTTCCTATAGCTCAGGTTTTCTCAACTTAAGCACTATTGATACTTGAGACTGGTTAATTCTTGGGGTGGGGGCATCCTGTGCTCTCTAGGATGTTGGGTAGCATCCCTGATATTCACCCACTAGATACCAGTGGCACTTTCTGAGTTGTGACAAACAAAAAAAGTCCCCAGACACTGCTAAATATTCCCTAGGGGGCGGAATCACTCACAGTTGAAAACTACTGCTTTAGCTATTGTCCTCTTTCTCCTGCTGTTCATGGAGCCAGCAAATTGACTCCTCTTCATTCTAGAAGCCTTTTCCCTTGGCTTCTGTGAACCACCCACCCTGGCTCTCTCCCGCTCCTGAGGCCTCGCTCTGCCTCTCTTGCAGCCCCTTCCCAGCTGTTAATTTCAGTGGTCCTCAGGGTTAATCCCAAGCCTCTTCTTTGTAAGTGTTTACTTTGGTGAGTGAATGCAACCCACAGCTTAGCTTCCCCTTTAGTTTACCACCTCTCTTTCAGCCACAAATCTCCTCTGAGACAGACCCTTTAACCCCTCAAATTCAGCGTTTGCCAAACTGACCTTGACTCTCTGCAAGCCAACTGCTTGTTTCCCGGTGTCCCCATTGTAATGGATGGCACCACTGTCCACTTACTGGCTCTGGTCACAAATCTAAGCATGACCATTGACATGTATCCCTGGCACTTGTCCCTGTGGATGCATCCATCTCTTTTCCTCCATCTCCCCTGCCTTCATGCTAGACCAGGCCACATCGTCCTCTGCCTGCATTAGTGCTCTTGCCTTTTACCTGGTCACCCGTGCTCCCTCCAGACCATTTCCACTGCAGCAAAGGAATCTCTTTAACACTCCATATTTCACTCTGTCACTTACCTGCTTTAAAACCCCTCAAATCACGAGTCCCATTTCCTTTAGAATACCTTCCCTGGCCCAACCCAGTCAGCTTTAGATGCTTCTCTTCTCGGTTCCCATAGCAACTGGGCAGACCTGCAACATGGGTTTCCATACTGCACTGAAGTTGGAACTTTCTTGTCCATTAGATTCATATAGTTCTTGGAAGCAGGGCCCTATTCATCTCTGTATCCCTGGAGGTAGTCACAGTCTGTTGAAGAAATGAATAAATGAAAGGGTTGGGGGATTGGAGAAGATTGCATATCAACATGAACATTCATTCACCCAGCAAATATTTATTGAGTGCCAACTATGGGCCATGTCCTTGTGACAGAGAATGAGGGACGGGGTGGTGGCTGGGATGCTGAGAATGTTTCATGTGGTGACCTCAAGATTCAGAATATTTCTGGCCAGTCAGGCGCCACCCCCCATGTTGGGAACATGCATTTGTTGTTGCCTGTTCCATCCACCATCACCAGCCAGCCTTACTGTGCGGCCCTGCCCTACTCTCTGTCCTGGCGTTTGGTCCTTCTGTAGATGCCATATGGCCCATAGGGAACTGGGAACCAGCTTCCACCTTCCACCCTCCTGGACTGTCTGTTATGCTGGCCACTTGGTCTCCAGCCTCTGCTTCAGTTTTGCTCGGCTCCTTCTCATTGCTGTGCACCTCTGGTCAGGATAAAACCCTTACCCCTTCCTGCAGCTCACAAGTCTCCTGGGGACCGGTCCCCTTCATCCCAGCCACTGCACCCCCATGTACCCTCCTCTTGGGTTGAACTGAGCCACTTGTCATTCCCCAGACATGCCTACTGTTGCACTCTTGTGATTTCATGAAGACTGTTCCCTCAGTGGGGAACACACCTAGTCAGTCTGGTTACTTTTTTTC